TTTATTTGGACGTAACTAAAAATTTGTTGTCTAATAATCTTATAGTTATAATAACGTTTCGAAATAGAATAGACATAATTAAAATAATTGTTACGGTTTAATCTCGCGTTCTCTTTATTGTTTTGTTGTTTAATTGTCTGCGATTCCTTTGCGAATATTTCGCGGCATAGATAAAAACAGTAGGTACAAGACTGAGAGAAGAGCTACGAGTGAACATAGTATAAATGTCTTAAATACAGACACTTTTTGACGGGAACGCGAGGCGTAAAGTTGTGTGAATTATTTTATTTTATTGATTTAGTTTTTCTTCAGGTTTAAATCACAGTCGTTTAGCAACTGCTTAGTATCTGCGAAAGTTCCCAAATGTATTCATTTTCCCGTAGCTTTCCGACGTAACATCTCAGGAACTTCCAAAAAATCTATTAAAAAGGTGTCAGTAAATAACCAAAATTTCACTGAGACTATATTTCATACCATTTCATCATGTTTCATTTAATTCCATCTCATTATATTAATGTCTGAAATTCATTTTGTTTCGCTCCGTATTATTTTTTATAAAAAAATATAGAGAAACGATAAGGCTCCATTGTGTGATACCTTCGCCTATCCAGTTGGAAAAATGGAACTGCTATTACTGACATAAATATAATATTCTGTCAAAAACATTAAATTAAACTTGTAGTAAAACATACTAAATTATTATCAAAATGAACAGTAGAAAATTAATCATAGATGTATTAATATTTAGTGCGTCATTTTATATTTCTTATACCATAATGTCGCAATTTATAGAGAATCAAAGAAGAAAACGTGTTACAGAATCTGACGAGTAGTTAAATTTAGGTAACGACTTTTTTAATTTGATTTAAACTATACGGTGTTCTTTTGAGTACCTTTATAGATTAGACTACATCGTCATAAGTATTTTTTTGCTTTTTAAACAAAGGATACATCTAAAGGTTTATAAAATAATTTGAAAAAAACAATATTATATGACATTCTCGTCGTAACTACCTAAAGTATGTCGAAATAACAAAAAAACTTCTCAAAATAAAATTTGACTATAAGTTATTTTCCCTGTAGCCTCAGCAGAAACAACAGACCGATTTACAATATTTGGTGTCAAATTTATTTTTATGTATCAATATTAAATTCTTACCCGCTTGCGCTTCTTTCTACCAGGATAAGTATTCAACGGCTGAGGCGCCGGAACGTGGTAGAAATATGGCGGAGTGAAAAACATGTCTTCTAGGCCCGGAATCGGCGTGGACATCGCTGGCACCATAGATCGTACCGTCCCATATAAATTTCTATTACGCCCGTGACCGTACACGCTCATCATTTTCACTGGCTTTATGATCGACAAGCCTTTGCACGAAAAAACGAGGCAAACAATTTAGGCACAGAGGACTAAAAAAAACATTTCGATAATTCCGCAGAAAAATAAACCTATTTTTTTCTTGTTTAACAAAATAAGTCACTGCTTTGTTTTTTTTCTAACGAGGCTCGCTAATAGATTAGTATTTTAAATAAATACTGAATCTTTAGCTCCTCGTTTTATTAATGGATTTAAACACGTCCTCTGTTGTCACTGTATAATGCGTGATTCCACACAGAGAATGCAGAGAGCAATCATGTACACATTACATGTAATTATCATAGTTTATCTGCTTTTCCCAATGGACTGACTACGTGGAGCGCGACGTATCTGTTAGTACACTTCCTTACATTTTTACGGGTTACATTTAATGAATTAATAAATGTGGCGGATAAAAGGCGATTGCATGCGGCAGAAATGCGAATGTTGCGATGGATGTGTGGAGTAACGAGAATGGTTAGAATACGGAATTAATATGTTAGAGGAAGTCTGAAAGTGGCACCTATGACAGAGAAGCTGAGGAGTGCGCGTTTGGGATAGTATGGACATGTGATGAGACGAAATGAAAATGAGGTTGGTAAGAGAGTGTTAACTATGAATGTGGAAGGATATAGAGGAAGAGGTAGACCTAAGAAGAAATGGATGGATTGTGTGAAAGATGATTTGGGTAAGAGGGGAGTGAGCGAAGAAATGGTATATGATAGAAGAGTATGGAAGGAGAAAACATGTTGCGCCGACCCCAGGTGACTGGGAGAAGGGCAGGATAATGATGAATGATTTAATGAATTAATAAAACTTATTTATCGTCTTAAACCGAAAGTTAAGTCGAAAACGTTAAACGAAGTTCGGTAATGCAGAGAGTATCTGTATTTTTTTGCTCTCAATATCATATTCTAGTCAATGTTTTGTCATAGTAAGCGGAGCTTAGAATAAAAAAAATGGCGTCGCGTATCACAGAATTATTCGAGTCGCATGTGCTCGACTGTATCTCAGCGAAATGATTGAAAAACATCCGCGCGAGCTGATACGAAGTGCGGACCGTAGTCACACATGAGCGTGTTTGAAAAGTTGCGTTTTGTTACTGCAATTGTTTACATTACTACGAAACTCCTTGGACAGTACTTTGTCAAGAAAAAAATTTATGATAATCTATGGATTTAAATAGTCTTATTTGTTACTTTTTAGCGGGAACGCGAGGAGTGAAGTTGTGTGATTTGTTTTATTTTGTCTATTTAGTGTTTCTTCAGGTTTAAATGTCTTATAACGGTGGTTTATTAACTGTTTAGTATCTGTGAAAGTGCACAAATATGGGAAAATGAAACAAAGCCGCTAAACGTAACTTCTTGGGATCCCCCAAAAAGTCTACTGAAAAAGTCTCAGTGAATGACCACCATCTTACTGAGATTATATTTCATCCTATATATCATATCACCTCATTTCATTTAATTTCATCCCAGTTGATTAATGTCTCAAATTAATCATCTTTATTTCATTTCATTTCATTTCTCTCCATATTATCATTTTTTATAAAAATAACGATATAAACTGAAATAAGACATGACCTAAAGGTCTTATCTACCAGGTCATAAAACGCTTTAAAAAATATTATTTGTATGGAATATAAAAGTATTCTTAGTTGTCTCCTTGAATTAATCACACTTCTTCAATCACATCCATCGTTACCAGTCAAAGGTTGATCAAAAGAAATCCCATTGACAAATCCACTGATTGAACTTTAGTTTTAAGTTTAATTTTTCACATTCACGGTACATTGTCGTTATTTCGGTGTGTCTAAATGCAATGAAGCTGTACTGTAATGATGACGAAATGTAGTCTTCGACGCCGTTCGATTTGATCTTAGTATTTTATTGTTTTTTTTTTGTCTATTCTTTTATATAAAATGGAATTTCGGGATTCTCTATGGAGTTTGTTAAGTAGATGGACCTATTTTGTTTAAAAATCACACGTTCCTTTTAGCGTATGTAGTGGAGTGCACAGAACCACTATCAGAACCATAAAAAACGTTTGTACAATGCAAAAGTATTTCTGAATGTATTGAAATTCATTTATTATTAAACTAGCTTTTGCCCGCGACTTCGTCCGCGTGGAATAGTTCACAGATAATGCTTTATTTTAAAACAAATTTGGTTAGCATAAAAAACGTTAGGTATAGTGAGCCGACCTTAACATATAGACGTATGCTGCCGCGGACTTTTTTTTAGGTCTTTTAAAGGGGAACAATTCTGTCATACATTATTTTAGCGAAACTTTAACCGTTTCTACAGCGCACGCGGCGGAAGCTCTCAAAACCCGATTTTGAAACATTCTTTATGGGTGCTCCGCTTGTATTGGTCTTAGCGTGATGTTATATAACCCTATAGCCTTCTTCAATAAATGGACTATCTAACATTGAAATAATTTTTCAAATCGGACCAGTAGTTCCTGAGATTAGCGCGTTCAAACAAAGAAACTTTACTGGTGGTAGGACCTCTTGTGAGTCCGCACGGGTAGGTACCACCACCCTGCCTATTTCTGCCGTGAAGCAGTAATGCGTTTCGGTTTGAAGGGTGGGGCAGCCGTTGTAACTATAATTGAGACCTTAGAACTTATATCTCAAGGTGGGTGGCGCATTTACTTTGTAGATGTCTATAGGCTCCAGTAACCACTTAACATCAGGTGGGCTGTGAGCTCGTCCACTCATCTAAGCAATAAAAAAAAAAAAAGAAACTCATCAGCTTTATAATATTAATAAAATAAAATAAATAAAAGTATAGATTAAGCTTTAGGTGAAATTTTGCTAAAACGTTCTAAAATTCTTCCTCAACTTACTGTATTTAGGACAATTCAATACTGAGACAGTAGTACAAAATGTAAGTATACTTCTAATCTTATCACCGTGTAGGAATATCGTGTTATCAGTCAAAGCTTTCGGGTTTTATCAAATAATAAATTGAAAGAAATTTAGGCCGCCTGAACGGACTGCAATTAGGTATGTTCATATTAAAAATAGCTGACTTTAATAGGTGATGTTAGTATTCTGAATACTTCATAGCTCATCCGAGGCTGCGAATTGGTCTCTCGGAAATTGAGTCACAAATCGTGACAAAAATAAGTTTGTATCTTGATTCCCTAAATTTTCAATATACGCCGTAATATATTATGTAGTATTAAACGGTAGGCAGCGGCTTGGCTCTGCCCCTGGCATTGCTAATATCCATGAGCGACGGGACCCACTGACCAGCAGGTGGGCCCCGGATGCTTACACGGGCAATAAAAAAAATAAAAAAACTTACACGAAAATGAAATTGCGTGGTCTTGTCTTAAACTTAGGAAAAAGTCTGAATTTTTAAACTAGAATTTCAATCACAACAAATGTAACGATTTATGAAATAAAAAATCTTTATTTTTTAACAGTTTATGTAGGACCAATTTTAAGAAGTTTACAAACAAAAACCTGCAGCGCCATCTAGTATACGATATAAAAACTTTTCGCGTTTAACGCTTCGGTCGTTGAACTTCCATTCAATGTGTGCAGCAGTCCATACGTCGCAAAACTTTTACAAAATGTCTGCTAGATGGCGTTTAGCACACAGCCTATCAGTTTTGGCGTCATTTCAATCGTCAAAAAATGGCTTTCAACAAACGTAAAAAACAAGAAATCATGTAAAATGATTTCGATTAATATTATTTTAACTTTTCATCGTGCACAAATCACTTAATCATGGTTGCCGGGGCTCTGGCCAAAACATTATGTTCGTTCATATTCGATACAGTCAAATGCGAAGCCGGGAAAGATAACGGCTTCGGGAGAAGCTACATTTGGGCTGGTTCTCTAGAATCCGGCATTCAAATAGCCACTAACCACAAAAAGCCCGTGATGGTGATCATTCACAAATCTTGGTGTACCGCCTGCAAGAAACTGAAGCCTAAATTCGCTGGTTCGATCGACTTACAAAATCTGAGCAAGCATTTCGTCATGATTAATTTGGTCGATGAGGAAGAACCCGCTAGCAGCGCTTTTGCTCCAGATGGAAATTACATACCCAGGTAAATAATCCATTACTCCGCATTCTAGAATACATCGACCATAAATAAATCGTGCATACATCAAAGTCAAAGATCTAGACTACTAAGTCTTTAAGTCTGAGGAATGCTCTGAGGGATTGTTCGAGATGATACCAACGTCTCGTTTTTACGAGTAGAGTTCATCCATACTACCCCGAGCCACTGCGGTCATCCACAGTGCGTTTCCAGAGGTATTTTTTGCCACGTAACATCCGGCTATGGAATGAGCTCCCCTCCACGGTGTTTCCCGAGCGCTATGACATGTCCTTCTTCAAACAAGGCTTGTGGAGAGTATTAAGCAGTAGGCAGCGGTATGGCTCTGCCCCTGGCATTGCTGAAGTCCATGGGCGACGGTGGGCCGTATGCTATCTTCCGTTTGGCGCGTTTACTATCTTAACGTTTACAATTATTTTTTTAGGATTATATTCCTGTCGCCAGAAGGATCGGTTGACCATGACATCTACAACGAAGACGGGAGCAGCCAACACAAATATTTTTACAGCAAACCGGAACAGATCGTGAAATCTATGAGAAAAATACTCGAAAAATACAAACACGAACAATTCGATGCTTAAAAGATACCTAATCTACATTCGATGTATGGAAAACATGCAAATCTTCTAGAAATATATGCGATTCATTGACAGCCAGAATAAAGACCTATAGGTACTAACCTATCATATTCAGTGAGACAAAGTGACTAATTTTCAATGAGTAAGTTTCCGATATGAATTGTGAAGACCAAATAAATGTATCATAATAACCACTGAATTAATGAATTTTCTATAAATCGATTTTACCATTAAGCACACGTTTGACACGCAAAATTTAGGATAGATTGGTGCTTTTAGTATCTCAAGCACCGGTCACCGTTGCTTGCGACGAAGGGCTCTACGAGTAATTTAACCCATAAACACAACTCACTGAGTTTCTCGCCAGATCTTCTCAGTGGGCCGTGATTCCGATCCGGTCGTAGATTCTGCGAAGCACTGGTCATGCTAAGACGTTACTAATTCATTTTAAGATAAGCCCTTCGGGGCTTCTGGCAGATAGGAAAGCAAAACAATATCAAATCTCTCTCAGTTTGAGTCCGTGAGCTCACCTACCCGTCAGCTGAAATATCCTCTTAGGCTACCAGCGGATAGGTAGGAAAAAAGTAATCGATCATTGTTACCCTCAAACACAGCCCACTGAGTTTCTCGTCGGATCTTCTCAGTGGGTCGCGTTTCCGATCCGGCGGTAGATTCTGTGAAGCACGGCTAGGGTCTTGCTAGGGTTCGTGTTAGCAACGTCGTCAGGTTAGAGCCCCGTGAGCTCACCTACTAGTTAAGGTTACGCTGAAATAGCCTCTCAAGGCTCTCAGCTTAGGTAGGAAAAAAATGGTGATTGTGTGATACCACGACTGTCAAGAATGGGAAGAAAGAGAGGAATGTACTTACATCTTCCACGACGGGTTCGACGTACATCTCGACGGTGTTGTTGAGTGGTGGCAGCGGCATTGGTGACGCAGCCGCCGACGATCTCCTCGACATGCTGTTGCAAGAGCATTGCGACACGGAGCGACGGGAACGGGGAGATTCTCTGTAACAATGCATCAGAGAATACAGTGCTGTGAGGAATGTGATCATCCAGAAATCGCGGTATCTGTTTTTTACCACCGCATCTACCACAAATTTGAGCCCCGCGATCTGGACACATCGAGCTAACGTAGAATGCTTTTAACTACCTTCCACAATGACGCTTTGACATGTCCGCTTTCGAAGCCAAGACGAAGGTTTATCTTAGAACGGGCCTTAGTTGTACTAAAGAGGTAGGGTTATTCAATATTATGTACCTCTCAAATGACCATCTTTACGAGATAGTTTTATTGGTCGCGGTTCCGATGAGTCTTCGAAGATGACTTGTTCTGGATTCGTTAGTTAATTTTGAGCAAGGATCTGATGGCCCACCCGATATTAAAGAATTTCTGGCGTGCATAGACTCCCGTAGTGTGAATGCCGCCGTCACATTAAGGTAGGTATCCGCTACGCCACGCCACAGGGTTATGGTAGATGACAAAACGCATATACATGTATGGCCTTCATTCCTTAAAACAGATCCCTCATCCCAACCTATCTTCTTTTTTTTTCCCTACCTAAGCTGATAGCCTTGAGAGGCTATATTAGCGTAACCTTAACTAGTAGGTGAGCTCACGGGGCTCAAGCCTGACGACTCCCATCTCCCTTATCGCTTCAAGATAGGAAACCGTAGGAAAGATATGAGATAATCGTATCTGTCTTCTTCTATCTAATACGTTATGAGAAAAATATATGAGGTCGTTTTATTTTCGCAGCTGCAAATGTTTTTTTTATTGCTTAGATGGGTGGACGAGCTCACAGCCCACCTGGTGTTAAGTGGTTACTGGAACCCATAGACATTCACAACGTAAATGCGCCACCCACCTTGAGATATAAGTTCTAAGGTCTCAAATATAGTAACAGTGACTGCCCCACCCTTCAAACCGAAACGCATTACTGCTTCACGGCAGAAATAGGCTCTTGGGTGGATACCACCACCCGGTGGTATCGACCCAAGAGGTCCTACCACCATTAATTACGCAAATTATAGTTTTGCGGGTTTAATTTTTATTACACGACGTTATTCCTTCACCGTGAAAGTCAATCGTGAACATTTGTTGAGTACGTATTTCATTAGAAAAATTGGTACCCGCCTGAGATTCGAACACCGGTGCATCGCTCAACACGAATGCACCGGACGTCTTATCCGTTAGGCCACGACTACTTTTTAATTAAATCGCCGCAGTTTCGCTCGTGCCTTAATAAAATCTAGATATGTAACAGTTTATTGGTTGGTTTTTAGTTCTCTAGTTACCTTTTGCTTCTCCGACACACGTGGTGCGATCTCCGTTCGCATTTGCACCGAACTGGCACAAAGTATCCTAACTGAGGCAGCGGACCTGGTTCCGTGGAGTCACTAGAATCGCTCCACTCCGGTTGGCTGAATGGCCCCACGCCCAATATTGACGGCATTTCGTAAAATAACACACGTATACTACGTGATTTTTACTATTATTAAGCAATTATTATTACTCAATTCTGTTTCTTAAAGAGTCTATAGATGCAATTGTGTTTTTTTTAATTGTACACTTGATACTAATTGGACATGCTTGTTTTGGTCGTCTGTTATCCGATCGTTATTTTAATCTTCATTCGTGGTCTTGATATTCAAATTGTTTTCTAGTTAGTTCTGCTTTTCGATTTTTCACTATTATTTATCCATTTTGCGCGGTATTATCAGGTATATTTTCTTCTATATTTTCTTACTCATTACTGAATACTTTTTTTGGTTTTATTTCCTTAAATTTGTTTGCATAATTTTTATTTTGGATCAGCGGATTCTTATTGATGTTACGATTTTATCTTCGTCACAGTCTAAAGCATAATTTTACAGGTCACATATTGTTTTTAGATCCATATGACAAATACACCAATAATACCTTTATAAACTTAATGAACATGAGTTAAATGGGTACAGAGAATAAATACCTTATGACGAAGTATTATTTCGTATCGATTTTTTTTTATTAAACCTATTTCTTCCTATTTCTATCAAGTTAGTTAGCACTTTAGAAATACCATTCGGTTAGACGTTTAAAAGTTCTTAAGCATTATCACGTGTGTCTACATTTAGAGAATTCATTTTTATAGATAGCACTTTGATTTAAAACATTATGTACTTTAAAAATGTTCAACGCAACACCGTTCACAGATACGAGATACTTTTTCGAAATTACATACGCGGCGGCACGTCCGATGTGTTGAACCGGCGATTGTAGTTTTACCTGATTTCAGAAGTAATAAACAAATTACAGATAAAACCGGGTGCGTCTAGCAATTAGAACCAACATATTGATAAGATAAAAACAATTTAGGACAATTTTTTGCTTTGCGATAGGACTGTTTCAAACTCTTTGTTGTAAGTTTTCTTCAAAAACTGTGATAAAATATTTAAAATGCTCGTTCTTTGTCTTCGAATAGTTAGGTAAACGTGCCGAGGTTCTTTATTTTATAATATGCAGGGTCTGTCGTCAATAATGGATAGCCCGTTGTTCAAAATGTATTTGTTTATAACATACTATTTAATTTTATTCTCTTTACATGTCAAATGTTACAGCCAATCACAGTGATGTTATTTGATGATTTTAATATTTTATAATGTAATAATAATTTAGGTATTCCCCACGAATAAGTTAACTCCATTACCTAATCACTTTTACAAACCGCAGTTTTCTTTATTGTGGATCGCTGAGACCTAGGTTTTTTTTTATTGCCCTTTTAGGCATACGAGCATACGGCCCACCTGATGGTGAGTGGTTACCGTCGCCCATGGACTTCAGCAATGCCAGGGGCAGAGCCAAGCCGCTGCCTACCGCTTAATACTCTCCACAAGCCTCGTTTGAAGAAGGACATGTCATAGCGCTCGGGAAACACCGTGGAGGGGAGCTCATTCCATAGCCGGATGGTACGTGGCAAAAAAGACCTCTGGAAACGCACTGTGGATGACCGCAGTGGCTCCAGGTAGTATGGATGAACTCTACTCCGGTGGCGGGCGGTGCAATGGTAAAAACGAGATGCCGGTATCATCTCGAATAATTCCTCAGAGCACTCCCCATGGAACATACGGTACAAAATACAGAGGGAACCGAAGTCCCTCCGCAGACCCAGAGGTTCCAAACGGTTTAGGTAGGAACACTTACCTGAACCGTTTGGAACCTCTGGTTAGGAGATCAAATTATGGTTAGGTATGCCAGTACGATTAACGCCATCTGTCGTCAGATATTAAAAATCGATTTACAAACAACTGGAGCATCTCTCTCGAATGTTTTAGAAGATAGTTCTATTCGAAGCGAAACGTCAAACTGACCACATCAAGAAAGTGAAAACCGAATGGTGATAGAGAAGTTTTCGTTAATTATCATACTAATTACATTGAGTTTTAATTACTACATATTTCGGTTAAGATTTTTTATTTATCCTGACCCGCAATTCGTAACAATCTGTAATTTATAAGCCATGTCGTGAATATGAGGGTAATTTACAATCTTATTACCCTTAATAAAAACTTTTTTGAAGTGAAACTTCTTTAGGCGCATGAGGGTAAATTTTTTACAGAACGTCACGCAGGTATGCGACGGAAGTGACATCAAACTACTATTGAAATTAAGTACTTGTCAAATGTCAGTAGTAGTTGTTGTTGTATTTTTCCAACTGGAAAGGCAAATTAATCATACCATACAGCCTAATATTTTATAATTTTTTTATGAAAAATGTTAATAGGAATTGAAGTGAAATGAAAAGAATTTGGAACATTAATCAAATAGCATCAAATTAAATTAGTCAATTAAATTGGCAAAATATTAGTCATTTACAATTTAGAAATCTAAGCATAATGTGACTGTCAACCCTGAGGTTTGAGATTGACATTTGACAGACTTTTGGCGGGAACATATCTTCCTTTTTCCCTTCCTCTAAGTCTCGGAAATCTAAAGTTTTAGATTTGTATAAATATAAGCAAGACTTATAAATTAGTGTACTTTGTACGCACGCACTTTTTTTTATTGCCTTTGTAGGCAGGCGAGCCTACCTGATGGTGAGTGGTTACCGTCGCCCATGGACTTCAGCAATGCCAGGGGCAGAGCCAAGCCGCTACCTATCAAGTTATTAATACTTCACCATAATCTATCCAGTTATCCTTATTCAACTTTACCAAATCAAAGCGTATGATTCTAAGCGAGATAAGTTATATTTTGAAATCTGAGAATATTGTTAAATGTTACAATGATCAAGTATAGCAAGAGAACTAAAGATATTACGTGAGAAAAATTGTGAATACGGGCGTCGTGACATCATGGGGTTATCAATGTCAATCCCCTATAGATTCATGGGATGCTTTCCTAATCGCGTGGTTCGATGACCTTTGAAATCGTCCTATTCTTACCTACCTTTTGCGTTTTAAGAATTTATCGTTTCACATTCAGCGCTCCTAAGCCGGGATTTAGGTTTTTGATTGGTTATGGATGCCGATAAAACGTGTGGTACCAAGACAAGTTCACTCATACATCAAAAGCTAAATGTCTTATCAAAGATACCAAGTTCTAGTCGGTATTCTAGCCTCAGGGTACAATAGCCTGATTCACTGATCCCTATCTTTTAAAAAACGTTTGAGTATAAATCCTATGAATAAATCCCGTGGCTAGAATGTGAGTTTTGAAAATGAGGGATTAAAAATAGGCTTTTTGCAAATCAAGTCCTATCCTTCAAATTAGAATGCATAGTTGCTTCGTTGAAGAATGAGGTAGGGTGATGGTGTTTATGAGGTCTACGCTATTCACACCCTACGTTTATTGGCACCACTGCGCTGGGGCTTGGGGTAGAGATCTTACCCGATTATGTCTAGACAACCTAATTATTTCGGAACCCATGCATATGCCGGTTTGAGGACCCGCCGAGGAGAGCTTCGAAGATGACGTGTAGAGGTTCAACGCGTCTTAGAAAAAAAGAGTAACTGAGTGATTGTTGATC